GGGACACGAAGTTCACCAGCAACTTCTGGAAGAACCTCTGGGAGCAGTTCGGAACCAGGCTACGGTTCAGTTCGTCGTACCACCCCGAGACCGACGGTCGAATGGAGCGGACGAATCAGACGATGGAGCAGTTGATTCGTGCCACGTGCGACGACCCCACGACTTGGGAGCAGCAGCTGCCGCTGATCGAGTTCGCGTACAACAATGCCACGTCAGCGACGACGCAGCAGTCCCCCTTCTACCTGAACTACGGGCAAAATCCTACAGTGCCCATGACGCCGAGTCCGGACAACCCAACACCACGCGCACAACAATTCGCCGAAATTCTGCAAGCTGCCCGCACCAGAGCCGCAGAAGCAATTAAAAAAGCAGACGTCATCGCTAAGCGCAAAGCTGACCGCCACCGCCGCCCAGTCACATACCAGTCAGGGGATTACGTATTGCTCGACACGCAAAATCTGCGACTGCCCGACGTGCCAAAACTTCGACCGCACTACTATGGCCCATTCCAAATCAGCCACATGATTACGCCAATAATCGCGCACCTACTGTTACCAACCGACTGGTACATCAGCCCTTCGTTCCACGTCAGCTTGCTTCGCCCATTCATCCCAACCACAAGCCAACTGCCTCGCCACCGCCCGCCATCCATGACTCGCCCTGCATCAGAGCCGATCATTGAACCTGAAAAAATCCTGAGTCATCGGATTCGCCACCCCACGGGAATCAGGAGGATTGAATTCCTCGTTCGCTGGAAGGACCGCACGCCAACTGAAGATAGCTGGGTGCCCCTGGCCAACATTGAAAACCACCCTGCCCTGCAAGTGTACCTGAGGAGCCGGGGATTCCGCGATATACACGCACTTGTCAAAATTAGAAGGAAGAAAGAGGATTGAACTAGCAAGAATGAGGATACAAATAGCAAACCCTAGAAGGGTTGTACTCGCTGTAGAGCACCCCACTACAGGCTAGAACAATGAGATAATATTCTGACACACCCCCATAGCCAAAGTGGGGTGTAATCAGCAGAGCAGGCAAAGCAAAACAAGCTCAGGGTGGATCACAATGTCACCACACATTCTGAGCACAAGTTCAAGAAGAAATAGTTTAGAGTTTACAATTATAAGCAAAGCTAGTGGTAGTCACAACGGGCAAGTGAGGAGGAGGAGGGAGAGTGAGGGGAGAGGAGACAGGAGGCGACGGCTGAAGCTGCAGACACACGGGCAACAGGAGGCAGACTGGCACAGCGGCTACCGGACAGCGCCTGGACTACAGGAGTAACAGGCCCCGCGGCTCAAATAGCGGCGGACGGGCAACGGACCCACGGGCGGCTGGCACAGCTGGCTACGACTGGGCTACCGGGACAGCGCCCCGGACTACAGGTGCTGCTGACGACAAACTGGCAACCTCCGCTCATCCTCCCGCACACAGTCCCACCCCCCTGATACACACCCACTGCTACACCACTAGCTCTACTCCCACACACCCCCCTTAAACCCTAAACCCAGTCTCCCACACAACCACCCCCCTCAGCGACAGCTGCAGCAGTGGGAGACGAAGGAGGAGGAGAAAGGGAGGAAGGCACACCGACCACCCCCATACCCGCCACCCCACAGCTCGCCCCTCAGAAATGGGAGGGAGGGGGGGGGGGGGGGGGGGTGTGGAGGAAAGGGCCCACCACGGACCTGATTGGAGGGCGGAGCCGCGACAAGGGGCGGGGCCGCAACGAGTGGCGGGGCCGCGACGGTCAGGGCGGGGCCGCGACGTAGGGCGGGACCGCGACAGGTAGGGCGGGGCCGCGAAGGTAGGGCGGGGCCGCAACGGTCGGGGCGGGGCCGCGACGTAGGGCGGGGGCCGCTTCGAGGGGCGGGGCCGCGACACAGGGCGGGGCCGCGACGTAGGGCGGGGCCGCGACGAGGGGCGGGGCCGCGACGAGGGGCGGGGCCGCGACGGTCGGGCAGGGCCGCTTCGAGGGGCGGGGCCGCGACACAGGGCGGGGCCGCGACGTAGGGCGGGGCCGCGACGGTCGGGCAGGGCCGCGACGTAGGGCGGGGCCGTGACGTAGAGCAGACGCCCGCCGCGCGCCCCGGGGCGCACAGCGGGCAAAGAACCGCCGCGCGCCCCGGGGCGCACGGCGGGCAGAAAACCGCCGCGCGCCTCGGGGCGCACGGCGGGAAGGAAAAACCGCAGCGCGCCTAGGGGCGCACGGCGGGAAGGAAAGGTAGCAGCGGAAGCGAGGTGGAAACCCACCCACAGGATCGATCCAAAGGGATCGACCTGCTCTGATAGCATGTCAAAATTAGAAGTAAGAAAGAGGATTGAACTAGCAAGAATGAGGATACAAATAGCAAACCCTAGAAGGGTTGTACTCGCTGTAGAGCACCCCACTACAGGCTAGAACAATGAGATAATATTCTGACAGCACTCGCGTAGCGGAGGGGGCTTTTTGAGGGGGGGGGGGGGGGGGGGGGGTAGTGTAAGGAATTTTCTCGGCATTCCTTACAGAGCCCGACTACATCGCGTACAGCAACAACCGTTGTTCGCCCGTTACTGCTAACGGAACTTCGCCAACTTCGCGCGCACTGTTTTGCCAAACCTCGCACTGCTGGCCCGGCCGTGTCGGCCTACGCTTCGGGACTAGCCCGAGCCTCGCTGCCAGCATAGCACTAGCTAGCTCGCACGCACCGCGTTACAGTTTGCATGTTTCGCGTATAAATGTTCGCTCATGCCTTCGCTCACATCTTTGTACTCGTTTGACACCTTGTGCAATTCTCGCTACTTCGATTCATTGCACCCGTAACACTGTTAAAGAGTCGACTATGATTCGGCCACCTCGTCGCTGTTCGCGAAAAATATGATGACCATTAAGTCGTCTAAAATTCGGCCACACCCTATTTTCGGAATTGTGTGGCGATTTAAAACCCGCGTGTCAAGAAAGCCAAAAGTGGTTCATCCTTCCTAAGGCTGGTTGGGTGTTACCCGGTTTCCAGCGGAGGCAACTTTTCAAACACCAAACCTGGTCGCGAACATTCAACAAATGAGAACACTGTAGCAGCGACAAGAGTCCAGTTCAATCTCATCGCACGGTACTATCGCCCAACACCAACCTCCGTATACATGAGGCACACAGGCAAGAGAAACTTGTCCCAAAAACGCCAGTGATTAGTCTCGAGATTAGGACCCACTATTAGACGCGCGCAACCCGCCTACTAGCCAACTTACCTACTTTCGGGCGCTCACAAATCTCGAAATACAAAAGGTAGGGATATGCGAAAGTCGCGGAAACCAACATTGCCGGAAATATAGGCTTGCGTGGTGACATTAGCATACCGATGGCCACGATTTGACCTGCAGAGCAATGCGACGTCGCATTTCGGTTACGATGTGCCCTGCAAAGCAATCCGCGTCGCATTTAGGGTACGATCAGACTTGCAGGGCAACGCGACGGCGCCCTTAGGACACGATTTGCCCTGCAGGGCAACGCGACGGCGCCCTTAGGTCACAGTTTGCCCTGCCTCGCAACGCGACCTACGGGCAGGCGGAGGTGCATGGGCAGGGAGGACCGCGTGGGCAGGGAAAAGCACCTGGCTCACGTCCGCCTCTCTCACCCTCCGCCTGTCACACCCTTCGCCTCTCACACCCTCAGCCTCTCACACCCTCCGCCTCTCACACCCTCCGCCTCTCACACCCTCCGCCTCTCACACCCTGCGCATCTCACCCCCTCCGCGTCTCACCACCTCGGCATCTCACCCCCTCCGCACGCGTCCTCTCACTCACGTGCCCTCTCATTCACCTCTGCCACTCACTCACCGCTGCCTCTCACTCACCTCTGTTTCCCACACACCTCCACCACCCACTTACCACTGCCTCACACTCCCCTCCGTCCCCTCATAACCCCCCCCATCCTACTCAGCAACTTGTTCTCACTCCTTCTGCTCGTACTTTATCACTCCTCCCCTGTGTACCCTTCATCTCTCCCCACATGGCAGTTTGTGGTTGCAGCATTGGCAAAAGTACAATCATGGGGAGATGCATTGGCAGGGGGCGTAGCTTGGGCATGGGGAGATGCATCGGCAGGGGGGGTAGCGGGGGCTTGGGGAGATACACTCATTACTGCCACCCACTCACATCTGCCTCTCACTCCCCCACGCCAACCACTGCCCTACCCCGCCCACATCCTTCCGCCACTCACTCACTATCCGCCTCTTCTTTGACTTGACATTACTCACCCACCTCTTCTTCTCCCCCCTATGGCAGCTTGTGTGTGCAGCATTTCAAATTGGTAAGTTGGTGATTGTATTGCATGAATATCACCTAATGTGATATTCTAGTTAAGGGTCAAGTGTGAGATAATTCTGCCCGCATTAATTTGTGATTTGTTTTTAATTGATATAACAGTTTTTATCAACCAAAGACAAATTGGGGCGCCGTCACCATGTGTTGAGTTGAGATTAAGCATTGCTATGAAAGTAATTAACAATGTCAGCAATACTTACAGAAGTTTGTAATAAATATAGTTTCCTAAGCCCAACTACCATCATTACACTACTGCAACATTTCCGCTCTTGGCTTGGGGTACCGTCCGATGTGCGATACTCTGTCGCAACTCTGGGTTTGTGCGATACTCAGATAGGCTCAGGTAACACCCACGAACTCGACTCCTCTCGCTGACTCTCGCATTCAATATCGGCAACCTCTCGGTTCGCGGGCCAATCCAGGCACTAACCCCAATCAACCTTCCTAACCTTGAAAATTGTGGCCTGCGGGTACGCCCTAACATTTCAACATCGCTTCGAAAATCAAATTTCACCATCCAACAACAGCACGACTTTCACATGGCACACAGGATTCCTGCTTGCACGAACTAGTGCTACAATTGAGGTGATTTTTTCTTGCCGTTGGCTGAGAAAACTCGCGCGCTTTTGCGGACGGCTTGGTTTCCCGCGTGACCTCTGCGCGTAATAGGTTTGCGAACGTGACTTCTCTGCGCGGGTGGCGTCATGGCTGAGCCGGAACGGGTCCGCCTTCCCGCGCGGTCCACCCGCGGAAAACGGTGAGCCGTCATGGGGAAGAGGTAGGAACGTGGGTTGCTTACTGCTGTAACGAGGGAGCACCCAGCTCGTTGTTGGGTCGCAGGGAGTTTTTGAGAATTCTCAAAAACTCCCTGCAACGTGAGTTGCTTACTGCTGTAACTAGGTAGCAGCCAGCTCGTTGTTGGGCTAAGAGAACTACGAGGCGCAGATGAGAAATCCTTGTCCTGACTCCGTCATCCCTCTCTCAAGTGGCGCCTTTTCCTTTTCCTTTCCCTTCCCTCTTCCCCCTTTCCTTCATTCCTCCACTCCTGTCCCCTTTCCTCACAATCATATTTGCGGTTTCCCCTATCCCCCAACTGCTTGCGCCAATCAGAGTGTCGGAGCTGGTGGGGGAGGATCTAGACGCGGATGAGGAGTTTTGGAATCAGAAGGCTTTCCAGGAGGTGAGCTGGCATGCTGACGTGGATCTGTTGACTCAAAAGACCGCTGGTGGTGGGAGGAGGGAGGGGGGGGAGGGGGGTTGAAGGATCTAGACGCGGGTGAGGAGTTTTTGAATCAAAAGGCCTTTCAAGAGGTAAGTGGGACTGCTCACGTCGATTTTGAAGTTTCAGTCATTAGTTGGGTAAATGGCCTGCTGACGTGGATTTCAGCTACCAATGATGAGATTTGTGAGTGAGTCTGCTGACCTGGATTTTAACCACTTGTTATGAGTTCGGTAGGTACGGTGGATGGGTACATGGACGTGCTCTCTGACGTGGTCTGTAAATCTACATGACAATCCTGTTTTACATGTATGTATCCACAGGAAGCAGAGGATGCAGAGAATGCGATGGAGAGTGAGGTGGAGGATGACGTTTTTCGAATGTGTGAAGTACATGTACTCGTTTTACATGAGTGTATGTGATGTTGACATACCACAGGAAGCAGAGGATGCAGAGTATGAAATGGAGAGCGAGGAGGAGGACGGTTAAATGTGTGGAAAACCACTTATCTGTTTTACCGTACATATATGATTTGATTGTGATAATGATAACACAGGAGGCAGAGGATGCAGAGTATGCGATGGAGGGCGAGGTGGAGGAGGACGTTTTTCGAATGTGTGAAATACATGTACTTGTTTTACATGTGTATATGTGTACATGTGCATGTGTATATGTGATGTTGACATACCACAGGAAGCAGAGGATGTGGAGTATGCAACGGAGGGCGAGGTGGATGAGGACGTTTTCGACAGCGACTTTGATGACGACGTGAGCATGATGGGTGTGATGACGTGAGCATGATGGGTGTGATGTGACGTGAGCGACTTGTTATAGGAAAACCTCCTTCTCACACATGCCTCTTTGTCGCACAATTTACATGGTTTCTCACCACCTTGATAATCACACCATGTTTCGCACTCCTCTGTTTTTTTCTTTCTCTCTGATCTTGCATATGTGTATGCGCGTGACAGGAGCCAGAAAACGAGGAGGAGGAGCCTGGAGCAGAGGTGAAAGAAAGGTCTGCCTCTCCCGTTATCCTCTCTCCTGCCGCATCCCCTCCCTCGTCTCTCTTCCCATGTTCCTTCCTTTCCATGCCTCTTTCCCTTTCCCTTTCCGCACATTTTCCCCCATATCATCCATCTCCGAGACACCAGTACCCAAGCCCTTACCTCAAACCTTGATTTCTTTCACTCTCGTTCATCATGTTTCTTCATCAGTTGTTCTCTCTTCACCTGCCCCACCAGCCCCACCTGCCCCACCTGCCCCACCTGCCCCACCAGGCCTACCAGGCGCCGTCTCCTGCCTCCTGGCACAAAGAAAAAGCTCAAGAAGCCAAAAAAATCAAACTCCATGGTCAATAGCAACTCTCACCTCTCCCTTCTCTCCTAACCTGTCTCTCGTCGTCTGCCCCACCAGGTCTACCAAGCGCCGTCTCCTGCCTCCTGGCACCAAGAAAGAAACCAAGGAAGGAGTCTGCAAAGAGGGCGAAGAAGGGCCTCCTTCATTTCCCCTCATCCTCTCCTTGCCTGCCCCACCTGCCCCACCTGCCCCACTCACCTGCCCCGCCTGCCCCACCTGCCCCACCTTCCCCACTCACCTGCCCCACCTGCCCCACTCACCTGCCCCACCTGCCCCACTCACCTGCCCCACCAGGCCTACCAAGCGCCGTCTCCTGCCTCCCGGCACCAAGAAACTTTCCAAAAAGCCTAAGAAACCTGCTAAGGCAGCAAAGAAGGGCGTTGGTGGAAGGACGCTTGTTGCAGAGAAGGGGAAAGCGAGCGGAAGGGTTGACGGGGAGGCGACAGGTGATGGGGCGGAGGCGGAGAAGGGGAAGAGTAAAGCTGGGAGGAGGAGTGGCGTGGGAAAGAGTAGGCAGAGACGTGAGTTGGCTCTTCTGGGAGTGGGGCGAGTGAAATGGGAAGGGGCGGAGGGAGGTGAGGGAGAGGAGAGAGAGGAGCGAGAGGAAGGAGAGGAGGGAGAGGAGGGAGAGGAGCTTATTGGTGATGCGACAGTAGATCTGACAGACGAAAATTGCGGGGGAGGGGGAGGAGGGAGAGAGGGAGGCGGGAGGGAGGGAGGAGGGATGGAGAGGAGGAAGTCAAGGAGGACAGCGGTGGTGGTGAGGGACATGGAGAGGCAGGCTTTGAGGGCAGCGAGGGAGGGGGTACCCAAGGCGGTGAGAAAGAGGAAGGAGGGCGAGCGGCGGTGGACACAAGAAGAGATGCTTCTAGAGGCTGCACAGACAGGTACGGTGCGGTTCAGGGGCGGTGCGGTGCGGTTCAGGGGGGTGGGCAGTGGTTACAGCCTTGGGCATATTACTTGAGCGCAGGTAAGGCTGTAGGGGCTCTGAGGGCTGCGAGGGAGGGGGCGAGCGGTGGTGGACGCAGGAGGAAATGCTTCTGGAGGCGGCACAGGCAGGTGGGTTGCAGTTGAGAGCTTTTTCCATGGCTGAGAGGTGCGCGTGCGAGGCGGTGAGGAAGGTTAAGGAAGGCCTGCGGCGGTGGACACAGGAGGAGATGCTTCTCGAGGCTGCACAGACAGGAAGGTGGGGTGGGGTGGGGTGCGGTTCAGGGGGTGGGTGCAGGTGGATTCGGGGTTCAGGGCTTTTGATATGAGCTTGAGATGGGCCACAGAGGTACTAGCAAAGGAAGGTGCAGTTAAGTCGGTGAGGCTAATTGCATGCATGGCTGTCCGTGCTTGCTCACTCTCCTTGTGCCCTATCACGCCCATTGCAGAGGTTCTGAACCGGGAAGCGTTGGGAGTGATGCTGGGGGAGGGAGGAGGAGGTGAAGAGGAAGGCTGTGGTGGAGAAGGGGGGATGCATGGGGCCTCCTCTTATCCAGATTCGTCCCATTCCCCTTCTCCCGCATCATTGTTCCACTGACAACCCGTATTTTGAGGCGCCTCAAAAGTCGTCCCATTCCCTTCTCCCGCATCATTGTTCCACTGACAACCCATCACAGAGATTCTGGTGTGTTTTGAGTCGACTCAAAACACACCTTCTCCCGCATCATTGTTCCACTGACAACCCATCACAGAGATTCTAAACCGAGAGGCCCTGGCAGTGATGCTGGCGAGGGAGGAGGAGGTGAAGCGGAAGGCCGTTGTGGAAAAGGCAATCTTTGGTGGGCCGCAGATCCGATTCCACTCCAAGGACGGTGAGATCAAATCAAATCTTATTCCAGAAAGGCATTCTGTTGTTGAATAGCAGATTGATTCCACCCGAAGGGCAGTGCAAGCAACCACTCTCCCCCCCCCCCCTCCCCCTTCCCCACCCACCTCCCGCTTTCCCTTCCCCACACACCCTCCTCTTCCCCCCCCTTCTTCCGCCCCCCCTGGACCCAACCGAATTCCCTTGACAGGGAAGAACACCCTTGAGTTTACCAAAGTGGCGGCTGTTCTTGAGGTGCCTCAAAACTCCCCCTCCTTCTCCCTCCCTCCCACCCTTTCCTCTTCTACCGGACCTTATTAATTCAACTTCACAGGGAAGAACACCCTGGAGTTCACCAAAGTGGCGGCTGTTCCTCCAGAGATCAACGCAAAGGCGCCTTCCTGTACGTCCCCACTAGCAACCCCCCCCCCCCAACGGCTTTTGGAGTGACTTTTTTGAGTCACCTCAGAAGTCACCTTTTGAGTCGAATCAAAAGTCCCCTCCAGAGATAAAACGCAAGAGCGCCTTTCTGTACGTCCCCACTAGCAACTCTTTCTCAGCGGCTCCTGTTCCTTCTGTGCCTTTACCTTATGAGCAATTTTTTTTGGCCCTAAAGGCACATTCACATATGCTCACTCTTACACCTCTCCAAAATCAGCCATATAATGGCTTTTAGTCGCAATCAATTGTTTCTTTGAAGTTGAAATGGTCTCTTTATCCACCATGTTTATGTTGCCTTTGAGCGTTCCCTCACACCAATGAGCTTCGTTCCCATCCCACTACCCTCCCACTGTTCTTTTGCGAACCCTCCGCAATCTTTTGGCCTTCATTTCTGTTCCCTCCTTCCTCTTCCTGCAGACCCTGCCAAGCCCACTTGTGTGATCACAGGTCTACCAGCAAAGTACGTTTCCACTACTCTTCTCTACACCACCTCCTACTGCTGCTGCTGCTGTGTGTGTGTGTGTGTGTGTGTGTGTGTGTGTGTGTGTGTGTGTGTGTGTGCGTGTGTGGGTGTTTCAACATCACTTGAACAGCATTTTTCTCCAATAGCGATTATTTCCACAATCAATTCAGCTACCAGCAAACCGGTTAGCCAAATGTTCTGACTTGAATTTCCAGGTACCGAACACTATGGACGTTTTGTTATAGAATTGTCAAATGTCAGTAACTTGCGTGGAATTTCCTCTTCTCTTCCCACTATGCAGGTACCGAGACCCACTCACAGGCCAGCCGTACGCCACTATTAAGGCCTTCAAGGCCATTCGCCAAATGTCAGTGAATCTTTTGCGGTTCCAACTTCTTTTCTTCTTTTATGCACATAGCCAGTCCATGCATGCGGTTTGCCAGTGCATGCGCCTTGCCAGTCCCTGCCAGAGCCCACTGGGATGGCTATGTGCATAGCCAGTGCATGCGCCTTGCCACTCCATGCATGCGCCTTGCCACTCCATGCATACGCCTTGCCAGTCCCCGCATGCGCCTTGCCAGTCCCTGCATGCGCCTTGCCAGTCCCTGCCAGAGCCCACGGAACTGTGATGTAAAGACGAAAACGTCTCACCATTTCTCCGAGGTGACTTTTTAGTTGACTGGAAAATCGCCTTGCCAGTCCCCGCCAGGGTGCACTGGGCTGTGCTGCAAGGAACACAACTTCACTCTGTCCCTCCGTTCCCCTATTCCTCCTTACCTTGCTCTGTTGTTTTCCCATGCTGCTGCCATGCCATCCCCAACGCTCGTCCCTCCCTTTCTCCTTTTCTATTCCTCTTTTCCTCCCGCCCTCCGTTCATCTCCCTCCCTTGCTCTGTCGACCCTCAGATGGCAGGAGGAGCAAGCAGCAAAGAAGATACTTCCAGCCAGGAGCCACCGGCCGCTGCTGCTGCCATTTCTAACGCTCAAAATTTCTCCATTCCTCTGTTCCTCCTTTCCACACTTCCTGGCTCTGTTGGCCCTCAGATGGCAGGAGGAGCAAGCCGCAAAGAAGAGGCTGAGGAAAGCGGCAAAGGCGGAGGCGAGAAAGGGGGCAGAGGCAGGCATGGGAGGGAAGGCAATATCCCAGGAGGGACATGGGTCACAACAGGCTGGAAATGATTATGATAGACGATTAGGAAACCAACTCTTAGCCAGTAGCAAGGGACGGACTGTGTTGAATAGTGCTCGTGTTTTGCGTGCTGCTGTTGTTCATGCTTCTAGGATCCCAGGGACAAAGCATAGAACAAGCTTGTAGATACTACGGCAAGTGAGCAATAATGCATTAATTTACGCAGCTGTTGTGATGGGTGGAGGAGGCACATGATGCAAGGTGATATTGTAGCATGGCAACGGCCGTGTGGAAGTTTTTGTTTATTTCTTGTACATGTTGAGCTGAGTGCAGTGCAGAGCGGAAGAGAATATATTTATTCCACACACAAGCACACACACACATCTACCGTCATCGCCCGGATATAAGACATATATGTCTTATCTCGTACACGGGCAAAAATGCTTGAGTTATCTTGTAAACGGGATGGTTTTAGGGTGTCTTATAAGTCTTATAAATGGAAAAAAAAATAAGTTGACTGTAACACTTGCAAAGTGTGTAGAAACAACCCAAAGACCAATTTCATTTAAACAGGCCGACCTCGGTGGTGATGCATGCAGCGCCCACACTTTCCACGTGAGGGAGCTGCCACCGCTGGCAACATTCCTCTGTGCTGGCAGCATCATGATGCCAGCGTCGTTTTGCTGCCAGGAGCGCATGGATGCTTCCAGAACGCTGCTGGCAGCACGTTGGCAGCGTGAGGGCTGTCCTCTACGAGGAGATGCCTCGTAGAGGAGCGGCTCGGCACCTGTGGATGGGGCACTCTGGCTGGGGGGGGTAGTCGGGCTCTCACTTCATTTCGTGCTCAAGGAGGTTGAATACTCGTCTCAACCTTGCTCTCGGCAGGCTCTCTAACCATGCGCAGCAAAGTACCAGTAGGCAAGTCCTCACCTCGTCCTCACGTGCAGGTTAATAACTACGGGCGAATTAACTCGCCCGGCGATGACATCCGTGTAGCCATGGCGAAGAACGCGAGCAAGGCGGCAAGTCCTACCGCCGCCTCCGGTGCGAGCTGTGACGGGGACGAAGCGAACGGCGACGACGCCGAGGAGGATTGGCCGGAGAACGGCCACGACGACAGCGCTTCAGGCGACGATGTAGGTCCTGCTGACATCGAGGAGGACGACTGGTGGAATCGGCCGGTCGGGAGCGACGACGAGGTGGAAGAGTGGCATGTTGGTGATTCCGACAACGACGGAGGTAAAGATGCGCATGGTAACAACGCGGAGGCAGCGGCGGATGCACAGGAAGCGACGGTGGATGCGAATGAGGAGGCTGACGACGAGGCGGGGGCGGAACTTGAGACATTTGCGCCTGCGGATGCGACCGCAGTTGCGGATGCGGAAGGCGAGGAAGGCGGCGACGACAACCCATGGAGCTTTGGGACCGACGACGACGTCCCGCTACTGAAGCGGAGGCTGCGCCATCGCCTATAGTCCAAGTCAAAGCGGGCCCGCGTGGTGCTCTCTGACGACGACGGTCCGGGGGAGGAGCGTCGCCCGATACTCACCGCTGCGGAGAAGGGGAAAGCCAAGGTCGCGGAAGCCCCTGCTAAGGCCCCTGCTAAAGCCCCTGCTCGTCGCCGCACAAGCAACAAGAAGCTGACATCCGACGGAGACCCGGGATCCAGCAAGGGTGCGGCTAAGAAGAAGGCGAAGAAGGCGCCGAATCCTGACGACATCGTCGTGAACGAGCCGCTGGCAGCGACGATGAGTACGCGGCGGCGGCAGGCCCGATTCCCACATTCCCTGAGAAGGTAACGCCGAGGGACCCCACCCTCCATAATCCCAACACCCGCCCACCTTCCCCTCGCAGCAAAGACACTACGAAGAAGCGCCGCAGTTGGACCGTGCGTGAGAAGCTTAAGTGGGCGCGCCGCTATCAGGAAGCTCGGCTCCTTGAAGAAGACGAGCGTGGAGTCAACCGCGTCCATCGCCTGCATCAGACGCTGGTGTGCGGAGGCTGGAAGCGGGCGTCTACAAGGGCGCGGCCAACTGCCGCAAGCGGATGCACGGGGGGGGGCGCCACTCACACTACCCCGACATGGAGGCAGCGTTGTACCGCTACATCTGCCTTCAGCGCGCTAACGGGGTGGCCATCTCGGTGAAGGTCACCCAGAAGTGGAGCCGCGATGTGGATGAAGAAGCATTACCCCGGCAAGAACTGGAACGCGAGCTCTCACTGGAGCCACCGTTTCCGTGACCGCTGGAACCTGGTGATGCGGGTGAAGACCAAGGTCGGCCAACGTCTGTCGGCAGGTGCGTGTTGAAGGATTTCGTCTGGCGCTCTATTGAATGCATGTACCTCACCCAGTGTCTAACCATCCCGTGCTTTCGTTGCGCTTGTCCCGTCTGCAGAGTGCGCGAAGGACTGCGAGTCCTTCTGGAAGTTTGTGCGCATCAACAGGGCGCGGCACAAAATCGACCTGGCCCGCATCATCAACGCGGACCAGACTCCACTATTCGTGGAGATGCCAGCCGAACGGACGATCGAGCACCGTGGCGCGCGCTCGGTCCCAATCCGCACTGCAGGCTACCAGAAGACGCGCTTGACGGTGATGCTCGCGTGCACTGCATCCGGGGAGAAGCTGCGACCGTGGGTGTGGTTCAAGATGAAGAACGTCCCCAACTGTGAGATTCCGGAAGGTAAGCGAGCGTGAATTCAACCGTGCGACTGCCTGATGAGCGTGCCCCACTGTGCTGATGCCCGTCTGTCCCTTGTGTGCCTGGCAGGAATCGTGGTCCAAGCACAGGACAACGGGTGGATGGACGAGACCGCTGTGCAGACCTGGCTGTCCAAGGAGGTGCTGCCCCATCTGAACCCCCAGCGCGGCCAGAACGCAAGGCAGGCGATGCTGGTGTTGGACTCCTACCGCGGTCACATCACCCAGACCATGCTTCAGTCGTACCGCACGCACAGCATCACCCCTGCAGTCATCCCAGCGGGTTGTACGAGCCAGATTCAACCCCTGGACGTCTCCATCAACCGGTGCTTCAAGGCTGCTGTGCGAGCGCGCTACGCCATATCCGAAGACGAAGAAGGGTGAGTTGGTCCTTCATTTACGGTTTTATTCATGTTCTGTTTCGTGTCCTTGTCTTAAACATGCTCCTTCATATCCGTGTCTCTTACATCTCGCTGCCCCGTCCTCTATCCCACCCGCAGGGAACCTGCGGAGGCCTCCGCACCCCGTGGTGCTGCAGTGGATCGCGGAGGCTTGGGATCAAGTCCCCAAGCAGATCATCATCGACGCGTTCCGCCACTGTGGGATCTCGAGCAAGCTAGACGGAACAGAGAACCACCTGGTGATGTCTCACCTGCGCGCCAGGAGCACCACCGATGTCTCCGCGGACATGTCTCTCGGGGGGACCACAGGCGACAACACGCGCCTGCTCGGTCGGGCTCCAGAGGAGGAGGAGGAGGAGGCGATGCAGGCGGAGGGCGTGCGGGAGGTGGCGTGGCAACCGGCCTGGAGGTGCTGTACCAGGAGACCCCCAACTACCGCGGAGCGGCGGCCAAGGCTGACCGCATGGTCGAGCCTAGGGAGACGGCTAGGCATGCCTAGCGAGTGCCAGACCTGGGTGTAGAGCCTGATGTTAGTGCAGGTGAGGAGGCGGTGACTGAGGGGGGTTAGGTAGAAGTAGAGATTCATACTGTATGCATGTACCCCCTTAAAGTAGGAAAGCTAGCTAAGAAGACACCCCCTGTTTATAAGAAAACCCCTAAACCCTGGTTCTGATTATAAGACATATGTCTTAACTCGTACACACAAATAGGTGTCGTATAAAAAGGCTAGCTTGTTTATAAGAGACACCCGTATAGTAGACAACCCCTGTCTACTATTCAACACTGTCTTATATCCGGGCGATGACGGTACATTACACAAACTAAGCACACGACAAAAAAAAAAAGGAAGTCAACACAATAACTCACACATCTACAATAATCAAAGAAGCACACAAAGAATGGCCCAAAAAAGGGCAGCATCGTCATGTATCCCTCCCTGACACCAGGCTAGTAGTGCACGCAGGCTAATGTAAGGCTGCAATGCAATGCATGACAGTGCGCAGCAGAGAGATGACACAACACCCTTCCATTGCGCTGCAAGCCTGCAACACTCAAGATCATACCCTTTCATTGCCTTCCAGCCCTTCAGATGAAGCAGCAGCAGCAGCAGCAGCAGCAGCCAAGGCTTATATATGTTTCCTCATTGCAGCAGCACAAGCCCTCACACCTTCTCCTGCAGCAGCAGCTCCAGGCTCACTGTACTGGATCGCTCAAGTCGCGATGATGGAGAAGTAGGAGGGAAGGGAGGAATGAGAGGGGGAGAATGGGAGGAGCGGTTTGTTGACAATTCTCCATGATACCACTGGCACCCTCCTCTGGCTGTGAAAGGTTCTTCCCTGCCCTTGCTAGCTCCTGCTGCGGCTGCGATAATTGGTGCTCGGGCCGTGATAAGCCATGGTCTCGCCTCGATAAGTCGTTGTTCAGATCAAAGAGGTCCAGCAGGGCGTGGTGAACAGCTGACGCCGACTGCTTATCGCAGAGAGAAAGGCCGCGCGAGAGGGCATTCGGGTGACTGTATGGGGCGGCGGTGTTTCCCTGAAAGAGAGGGGTGATGGCTCCGTAAATGTGCTTCACTTCTGCTGAGTCTAGTGAGTCCACCCTCTGCTGCTGCCCTTTGCTGTTGCCTGTATGGGTACACCCGTTTGTCGCAAATCCGTTTGTAGCACATCCGTTTGTAGCACGCCCGTCTGCAGCATGGGAATCAGCATGGTGCTTCCCATTGCCCTCACAAGTCATTCACAGCTTGGCTCTGTGACTCAGCCACAGCAGAAGCCGCAGCATCGGAAGCAGAAACATCAGCCTGCACTGCAGTAGTCGGGGATCCTAGCGGAGATCCTTGTAAAGGAGATGCTACTAACGGAGATGAACCTAAAGGGGAAGCTGCAGATCTGCCGTTGCTGTTGTTTATGCCCATCCACCAGTCCTTGCCCTCCCCATGTGCCAACGCCACAGCAGCAGGTGCATCAGGGGACGCAGACTGAGGGGGGGATGAAGCAGGAGCGGTAGGAGCAGCAGGAGTGGCAGGAGCAGAAAGAACAGCAGGGGGAACAGGAGTAGCAGGAGCAGGAGAAAAAGGATGAGGGGCAGAAATGGGATCGGTGGGAGCAGAAACAACAGCTGTGGAAGCTGGTGCAGTCATAGCAGCTGCCGTTGCTGCTGGTGCTGCTGCTGCTACAGCTGCTCCTGCTGCTGCTGCTGGTACTGCTGGTGCTACTGCTGCTGATGCCACAAGAACCTGTGAGGGACATGACAGCCCACGCAGAGCACCTACTGCCATCCCTCCAACTTCTCCTGCCATACCACCAGGTGCTATCAGCCCTGCAGGTGCTGTGAGGCTGGAAACAGGTGGTGTGAACGTTGAAAGTCCAGCAGAAGCGAAGCACCACGGCCTGTGAACCCTGAGAGGTCAACTCCAGCCATTCCTTCACTCCCCTTTCTGTCATTCCCATTCCACCTGACAACATCCCATCCCCTCCTGTTCCAGTGAACAGCATAGTTTGATGCGTGTTCTGCTGCTGCTGCTGCCACTGATGCTGCTGTTGCTGCTGTAAGCTCAGCTGCCGCTGCAAGTTGAGGTGTCGCTGCAAGCCCACCTGTGGCTGCATGCCTCAGGTGACGTGGCAGGTACGGATTGGCTGGCAGCTGCAGAGGAGGAGCAACGCCAGCCAACCAGGACGAGCAGCTGACATCAGCAGCTGCCAGGAAACTTCCGCTTCCACTGCTGCTGATGCCGTGAAAAGCATTGGAAGCGGCAGGTACTGGCGTGTTGGTGCAGCAGTAAGGTTACTGGGAGACAGAAGGACACTACCTGACAAAAGAGACCGGTGGGACAGCAAAGGCGCGGTGCTACCAGATACGAGAGCACTGCTTGCTCTGTTGAAATCACCTGACCCAGTCACCTGACAAGACACCTGACCAGGGGAGGGTGGTGGAACTGCGGAATCTGGGGGATACTGCCTGAGAAAGGAGTCATCTAGGGAAGCAGAGACACCCAAAGGGGGAAGGTGGGGAGCAGAAGAGCGGAGTGATGTAGCAGCAGCAGCAGCAGCAGCAGCAACTGTAGCAGCTGTAGCTGTAGTGTTGCTGCAGGGGAGAATGAGACCATTAGTGGTTGTGGTGGTGCCAGGCTTGTGTTTTGAGAAGATACCTTTTCAGCATCAATATCCATGGCGGAAGGCTGGGGCTGCAAGGCTGGCAGGACTCTGCCACTGCTGGTGCGAGGGAAAGCAGCTGGAGCTGAATGGTTGGTCTGTCTTGGCTTCTTGCGCCCATCCATCCACTCTCTCTGCTCCCTCTCCTGCGCCTGTTCTGTCAGCTGATTGTTTCTGCTGCCTGCTGTTGTGCCAGCCGTTGTGCGTCTCTGGTGGGAGCATCAGCAGCAGCTCAGCCTGCTGTTGCTGCTGCTGCTGCTCCCGCTGCAGCTGCTGCTGTAAATGCTCAGACTGAATGCTCTGTCGCCTCTGCAGCAGCCCAGCCTGCTGCTGCTGCTGCTCCCGCTGCTGCTGTTGGTGCTGTTGGTACTGCTGCTGCTGCTCCTGATGCTGCTTGCTTATCTGTTGCATACCTGCTGCCTGCAGCTGAAACTGCTGGTGCTGCATCAGCAACAGCCCCTGCTGCTGCTGCTGCTGCTGCTGCTGCTGCTGCTGCAGCGTCTGCTGTCGCGTCTGCCACTGTGCCTCCTCCCTGCTGCGGAACAAACAGCAAGCCAGAGCGAATGCTAGGCTCGGAATGCACCCTCCTGTGCTGCTCCACCCCGCTGCTCCTCGGCTCAATGCCACTGCTTGCGTGTTGCGGCGCGTCGAAGATCCTCGGCTCAAAGGCGCTCGTAGTGTGTATGCGGCTGCGTCGAAAACCCTCGGCTCAAAAGCGCTGGTAGTGTGGTGCAGAACGGTGGAGTGAGCTTGCATCGCCCTCTGCTGCTGCAGGCGCTGCGCCATGAGGTTGAACTCGCGAACTGTCATCTGCATTACTGTGCAACCAGGGAGAAAAAAACACAAGGAGAAATGGAGGAGAGCTCAGGTTTTAACAAGGCGGCTCAGAAGCATGTGCTGCTGTGCCATGAGGGTTGAACTCGCGAATGTCATCCCCGCACTGTGCAACAAGGAATAAATGAGTAGCGGGCTTGTTAAGAAGTCCATTCTCAAGACGCGAGCCCAACGCACATGCTCGAACACAAGCCTAAGGCACATGCGGAAGACACACTTACCATGGCCAGATCAAAGTTGTAACTGCCTGCTGGCCCCTCTGCCTGTAAACCAGCCATCGCAGCGACACGGAGGGGAGAAAAGAGGGGGGGGCGTAGGGGACGGAGTGAGGAGGACATAATAGTCGGATCGGATTCCCAAAAGCCGCTTGCATTGAGATGTGTTTTGAGGCACCTCAATGGGAGCGCAGAGACGGAGTGAGGAGGACATAATGGTCGGATTCCCAAAAAGCCGCTTGCATTGAGGTGTGTTTTGAGGCGCCTCAAAACACACCTCAATGGGAGCGCAGAGACGGAGTGAGGGAGGGCATAATAGTTGGAATTCCCAAAAGCCACTTCATAGCGACTTCATAGACTCGTACATGGTTGGCAGTGATTGGAAAAACGCTCACCTCACAGCAGCCCTGTCATACGCCATAGCAGCTTGCTCCTGCGTGTCAAACAACCCCAGGTAGTCATATCGCTTGCCCTCCCTCAAACCTCCAGCAAACCTCTATGGCTGAGACCGAGTCCAAGAGTACGTGGTTGATTGGCACAAGGGTTTCTCACCTCCCAGCAGCCCTGTCGTACGCCACGGCAGCCTGCTCCTGCGTGTCAAACAACCCCAGGTAGTCATACCGCTTGCCCTCCCCTCAGGTAGGGTTCTTTTACAACATAAGCCACAGTGACTGAGAACCACTCACCTCACAGCAGCCCTGTCATACGCCATAGCGGCCTGCTCTTGTGTGTCAAAAAGCCCCAGGTAGTCGTATCGCTTGCCTCCACATGCACTATCCTCGCCTCCCACCGACCCTGGGAACGAGGGAGACGGGATGGGAGAGAAACGGGGAAAAGGGGTGACCAAACAGCCCCAGGTAGTCATATCGCTTGCCCTCCACGTGGCCAATCCTCGCCTCCCACCGACCCTGCAAATGGGGGAGAGACGGGTTGGGAGAGACAAGCGGAAAACTAGGTGATCAAATAAACCCAGGTAGTCAAACTTGCCCTGCACATGGCCTATCCTCGACCTCGCCTTTTTTTCTGCCCCATTTTTTTTAGTCGACTGAAGAATTATTCCACCTCGCCTACCTTCAGCACAACCCTACACCCTCACTTTACCTTCTGGTGTTTGGTCACCCCTCGGTACTTGGACGTCCCTCGAGCAAAGCCCTTGCTGTGCCGCCGCAGCAGCAGAATCAGCTCCTCTTTGGGAACGGCCTCTGGTGGGGTTCGGTAAGAGGGGTGATGGGATAGGGGAAGGATGGACGAAGAGGAAGATGAGTCAATCCCTGTAAGCACGCAAAGCACACAAAGGACCACAGTTTTTATTTCTTTCAACTGTCTGTTCCACCGCCTCTGGTGTGGCATGGCACGAAATGAGGGACAGGGAGGTGGACGAACAGGAAAATAACCTCTGGGAACGACATGACAGGCGGTATGTTTTTCTGTGTATCTTTTAGAGTCGACTCAAAATTCATCTCCTTTTGAGACAGGTCAAATGACGATCCAAAAAGACAGCTCACCTATCTCCTTGGTATACTCCTCAGGCGGTCGGTTCGTCTGTGCGTCTTTCTGAGTCGACTCAGAAACTTGAAACAACTCAAACGGTGACCCGGGAAGAAGGCTCACCTATTTCCTTGGTGTACTTGGTATACTCCTCAGGCGGGAAGTTTGTATGTGCATCCTCATGATTCGACTTAAAAGTAATCTCAGTTTGAGGCAACTCAAACAACGATTCAAAATGAAGCCTCACCTATTTCCTTGGTGTACTTGGTATACTTCTCCGGCGGTAGGTTCAGCTGGCATGCTTTTGAGTAGACTCAGAAGTCATCTCCTAATGAGACAGGTCAAACGACGACCCAGAAAGACGGCTCACCTATCTCCTTGGTGTATTTGGTATACTCCTCAGGCGGTAGGTTCGTCTGTGCGTCCTCGCCCCTGCGCACATGACACCAGTGCGGCATGAGTAAGCAAGAGTGATTGCAGCCTTTGCCAGCATGTGCCAGCTTGACGAATTCACATGTATGGAAAACATCAGCTCAGCAGCATGTGTCACCATCACACCGCATCATTGCCTCCACATGATTGTATCTGGAGTGTCTGTGTCCTCACCTCATCTTGAGTGCAGCTATGTCATACATCAGTGCTGCCTGCTTCTCAGAACCGAATCTCATGTTACACACACACAGAAACACGCACACACGTGTGATTGATATCGTACATGCGTCACTCCTCACCTCATCTTGAGTGCTGCTATGTCATACATCAGCGCTGCCTGTTTTTCAGAATCAAATCCTCCCAGATACACCTGCCGCCCCTCCTCCCTGCGCCCATCCATTCCCACATGACCAAGATACACAGAACGAGACACACGGAGAGGCACGTGAAGCAACACAAAACGGGACACAGAAGTGGGCACGTGGAGAAGGCACACAACAGAGGAACACATGGAAGAAAGCAGCTGGAAGAAGAGAGCACCCCACCATAGCCATTCTATCTGCAGCTCTTACCACTACCTAGTTAATCTTCCGTAAAGCATAGGCGCACATGCCAATGCCATAGCAACCTGACAAATGAGCAACCTGCCCCATATATGAGCCTCCCACCGCCCTGTGCGGCAGTGGTGCGTCACCCCTCTGAACTTGGACGTGCTGTTGGTATGGCTCTGCACCACTACCGCCCCACATACACCGCATCTCATACTACTAATGAAACTGCCAGCTATCTCTCACAGCGCAGCTCACTCACCAGATGTGAGGAGCCTCCCAGCGCCCAGTGCGGCAGTGGTGTGTCACCCCTCTGAACTTGGACGTGCTGTTGGCCGGCCGCTCCCTCTGCAGTACTGCTGCTCCTCATACCTCTACACCAGATGAGGTGAGAAGAACTGCACTCACCAGATGTGCGCCTCCCAGCGCCCAGTGCGGCAGTGGTGTGTCACCCCTCTGAACTTGGACATGCTGTTGGCTCTTCACTACTGCTGTCTCTGATACACATGCTGCAAGCATCCCCATGCACGGCTCCTAGTACCCCTCACTGCTTGCTATTCCCTCACAGCAATTCTCACCAGATGTGGGCCTCCCAGCGCCCGGTGCGGCAGTGGTGAGGCACCCCTCTGAACGTGCTCTTGTCTCTGCATCACTGCTGTCCCAAACACACACAGCTATGGCTACTACTACCCCTCACACTGCCTGCTATCCCTCCAGCACAGCTTCACTCACCAGACGTGAGCCTCCCACCGCCCGGTGCGGCAGTAGTGTGTCACCCCTCGGAACTTGGACGTGCTGTTGGCCGGCCGCTTCCTCTGTTGCCCCACATGCACATGCTGTAGGCACCCACATACACCTCAGAGAAGAGCTTCACTCACCAGATGTGCGCCTCCCATCGCCCCGTGCGGCAGTGATGCGTCACCCCTCGGAACTTGGACGTGCTGTTGGCCGGCCGCTTCCTCTGCACCACCCGCCTCGCCTTGCCCTTGCCTGCCTCTGCATTGCTTGGCACGGAGGAGGCCGCGGCGAGAGACAGAAGCACAGAGAAGCCAGAAGGGAGGCTGAGTTGGCTTGAGATGCCTAGAATCTTGTCACAGGGTGACTCCTGTTGGCTTGTCGCTTCCTCTGCACCACCCGCTTCGCCGCGCCCTTGCCTGCCTCTGCATAAATTTGAACAAATGGGCGAAGCAAAGCAAGCACGAGGACAGAGAGGTAAAGTAACGAGCAAGCACCAAGCGCTGCTGACGGACCCGGTTGCAGCAACTGCTGCTTCTGAGACACGGCACGCATTATCCATGATCATGATTGGTGCTCGCCGCTTTTGAGAGCCCCAGCATGATTTTTTTGTCAACTCAGGCGACGGTTGCAGCAGCTGGTGCGTCTGAGACCGTACAAGCATTATTCATGCGAGGATTGGTGCTTACCGCGTTTGAGAGCGCCAGCATCATTGGGAGGGACGGCTCCCTCGCTACTGGTCACTCTGAAGGCCGTTGGGGGAGAGCAGGAGGCAAGGAAGGGAAGGAAAGTGAGGGGAGAAAACGGTGTCAGATTAAAGGATCCACAGGCGAAAAACTGGCAGAATTATATCTCTAGTGGCTTGCACAAAGCCTACTGCGAGTCGAACCCCCTAGTCATAACCCCTCCTCGTCTCAAGGCCCCTTTTTTACATCTGGCTGTCCTGCCTCGCAATCGAAGATGATTCGCCATGCACACACAAGCTCGCTTGGCTTTTGAGTCGACTCACGATTCATCTCCTCCCGAGCCCCCCCCTCTCCCTTCTGGACCCCCTTCTACTTACATCTGGCTGTCCTGCCTCGCGATTGAAGATGACTCGCCATCCACACACGAGCTCGCCTGGGGCTTCTCAATCTCCGCCTCGATCCGACCAATCAGATCGTCCCACTCCAGCTCCTGAGGCGTCTCAGCCGTTGGATGCGCCAGCAGCATGCCGTGGATCACAGGCGCCATACCGCCAGCCGACCCCTCTTGGCCTGTGTTACATAAGGATGGAGATTCGAGAGGGCATGAGAGTGCTGTCAACAATCCAAAGCAGCATGCTTAAAGACAATTCAGACGAAAACGCCTCAAACTGGGTGTAAGAGGGTGTGAGAGAGCTGCCCATCCGCAGCATGCTGCAAGGTACGAATGGATTCCTCTACTACACACTCACCCTGATCTGGGCCAGCACCCTCTGATCGTCTGCCTCCCCACCACCACGTGAACTCGTAGCATGTTACAAGGTGAAAAGCCGTTCCTCTCACACACACTCACCCTGCTCGATGTAGCCGTTGAGGGGTTCGGGTCGCACGGACTGCAGAATATGGAGTGGCGGCTGAGCCAACACCCTCTGATCGTCTGCCTCCCCACCACCACCAAGTGAAGTCGCACCATCTCTTCCTGTCTCTCCTCCCCCGCCTCCACTCCCTCCGCCTCCTCCACCCACCATGTCGGCTCTGTCCATGCCATATCCACCACCACCATTCTTCTTTGCTGCTGCTGCTGCTCCGCCTTCCACCTGCTGCAGCTCCGCAGGCTCGTCACAGCTGCAGCTGCTCTCTCGCCCATGCATATTCCCGTCAATCTCTCCACCACCATCAAGCCTTGCCGCGTCACCAACCCTTGGCCCGCAACAGAACCACCCTGATTCGGCTCAAGACAGCCAGGCAGCAGGGCCACTGCAGGTGGAATGAGCAGGCGGATAGCGCCCGTCTGCAATCCATTTACAGTCGCTCCTCCATAGGCTCCTTCCAGCACAGCAGAGTCAGCATGACCGTTAGTGTTGTCAGCATGGCCGTTGGTGTTGCCAGAATGGCCGTTAGTGCCAGCATGACAGTTAGTAGTGTCGTCAGCACAGCCGTTGATGTTGCCAGCATGGACGTTAGTGTTGCCAGCACAGCCGTTAATGTTCCCAGCATGGCCGTTAGCGTTGGTAGTAGTAGTAGTGTCTCCCACGATAGAGTTGTTTTCCTCAAAGATACTCTCAACTCTCTGGTGGTGGTGGTTGTGGTTGTGTGGACTGTGGTGGTTGTGACTGTGTCCATTGTGGTGGCTGTGATCCATCCCGTGAGCTGGCAAATCATCCGCCATCCCAGGGAGGGTAGAGCTAAGCGCATGCCCACTTCCAAGCATGTAACCACCACCATTACCACCATCACCACCAGCAGCAACACTATGGCCCTTACCCTTCCCGACCTCCCCTGCCTCCATCAAACGCTGGAACAGTTACCCTGCTATCACCAGCCGCCAGATGCGCTTTCTCCGAGGAGATGGAGTGAATACCACTATCACTCACTCCGCGAGCGTTTCTGGGAAGCGGAAAACTTAGGACACTCCCAGATTAGGCAACGAGGGAGGGACGGATGCCCGAGATACGTTGCACGAGGGACGGCTGTGACAGAACGAGGATAGCTGGGGCTGGCAAGCGGGACTGAGGGATTTAGCACCAGATTGAACTGAACGCAGCGAGGAAATGTGAGTTCCGAGGCCCGAGACTGGCACCTAAAAGGCTGGAAAAAATGCGCACAGTCAGTTGGCGCATCACGTGCAGCACAGACGCGGGCAGTTGCCCGAGAGGGACGCACGGGCGCTAGCTCGAGGGAACTCGAGGGATCTTGGGAAACTGAATGCTTGAACGGAGAAGGGAACCTTGCGGAACCGATGAATGTTTGAACGAGGAAGGAATCCTGTCTGGATCCTTTCACCTCGGATTGGCTCTCGAACATAGATGAATGACGGTACGAGGCAGCGGAGATGCAGCAGAAGCAGCTCGAGGTTGATAGAAAGAGTCCAACCGAGACAAGAGGCAATATGCAAAACGCAAGAGGCAATAGGCAGGAGGGAGGCAATGGTGCATATTGATCCATTGATTGATTCGAACTCGGCCGGACCGCGTCGACGGTCTCCAACCAAAGCAGATCCACGGTCACGATTGAGAAGCGTCACCGCGATTGAGAAGCATCGAGACCGACCCAGGCGCTCGATACATCCCGACGCGCGTCAGGAACCTTCTCGTGTCCTTCCGGAGAGTAAAAAACCAGCGATGCAAGGGCGATGCAGCCAAGCCGCCCTTCTATGCACTCTTTCGGGAGAATATCCGGAGGCCAGGTGCGTGAAGCGTGTTTTGAGGCGCCTCAAAACACACCTCACTGCACGGAGAATATCCGGAGGCCAGGTGCGTGAAGTGAGCGGAGAGCGCGAAACGTGGCTGCATGCAGGCGCACGCACATGAGCCCCCGCGCCTTGTTGTACTCGAGAAACTCGTAACGGGAAACTTGGAATTGAGAAGCTCGTAAACGGGAAACTTCCAGTCGAGATTGGGATCTCCGTCCATTGCCGCTTCCCGCACGAGGAAACTTCGTCCAATAAGAAAACCTCGACCGATTACAGCCCGTACGGTCAGGGAGAAGGCTTCCTGACAACCGGCTAATTGGACGGCTGACGTCAAGTCTGACCGAAGGATGACAGTGCCAGCCGGATCTGACGGGTGCGGTTGGTGTGGTAGGTGTGGTAGCTGTGGTCGGTGTGGCCTCGACTGCTCAACTGTAACTCTCGCTGTAACTCGCATCGACCTACCGGCATGCACGCATCTAATCGAGAGCTGCGGCATTCCCGTGCCTGATAGCTAGATGGAAGCCTCGGAGGTGTCGACAGGAGGACGCTCGAGCGATGGCTCATGGCGTCAGCTGGATCGCACGCTACTAATCGCAAGGTACGGGCCTCTATTGAAACTCGAAGTGAGGAAAAATCTTCTTAGCTGCCGACTCGATTAGGGAACCGCGTTGGACACTAGGTGAGCTGGAACTTTGAATTCCAGTATGGCTTGCACGGGACAAAAGTATGGTCTGTATGCGTAATGCTATCTGCAGTGCAATGCCGATTCGGTGAGCTCCATTAAAAGCTCTTGCTGCAAAGCGTAAAGCAATGGGATGGAAAATCTGTAAGTGGTCGGACCATCATTGTGGTGACCATCATTGTTGCAGGCGGCCTTATTCTCTCCCACGACCTCGTTTTCAAATCCCGAGGC